ACACAAAATACGTAATATGAAGAAAAGTCATGCTTTTGATTACCTGTATACTTGATTAGGTCATTTGTTGTTAGCAATGTTCTTTAAAATGATTCTGTAATTCTCATTCTTTATTTACTTTTAAAGTAATTGGAGGAGTTTTTGTCCCTATCATAAAAGCTGTATGTTCTCATTTTACTAAACGTAGGAAATTGGCTTTCCTTAGGTTTCCTAATGCATATATTTATAAAGCATTAAATGTGTGATTTCCTTTTTCCCCACTGGCTTTATGGCATTAAGTGGACACTATATTCTAACATCTCCATTGTGAAATCCCTCCCAACTTCAGAAGTTCATAGGTGTTTCTTAGAGATTGTGTGTGTGTGTGTGTGTGTGTGTGTGTGTGTGTGTATGTGTATGCTTGTTATATTTAACTATTTAATCCGTTCAAAATTTATTTTGGTATATGACATTGGTTGAATCTTTAAGGTAATAATTTTTTCCTAATTGATTTAAATTTATAGTTTTGCTAATGTCTATTGTAAATAAGGTCTTGAATTTCGTCATACTCATCTTTCACAGCTTTTGAAATGGACTTTAATGTTGTTCTCTTATCCCCAGAAGTTTCTTTACACTGCAGCTCCCTAGCATTCCCGGGTTTCACACACTTGGTTATTGGCGCAGCCTGGTGTGATGATGACAATCAAAGTAGGAACCACAGGAAACATCCACTGAGCACTCACTCCACCCCAGGCTCTGTAGCAGGGCTTTACAGAGTGCTGTGTTCAATCTTCACAGCCTAATGCTGTTTCTGGATTAAAGGGGAGGAAACAGATTTAGGAGATGAAGTGCCTTGCACAAAATCACAGATGTAGCCAAGATTTAAACACAGACATTCTGTCCCAAAATCCTACAGCAAGGCTTTGGATCAGATAAACTAAGGATTGTTTCCTGCCTTTTCCATTTGCCAGCTGTGTGAATTTGGAAAAGTTGATTAGCCTCTCTAGTTCATTTCCTTATATGGCGATAATACCTGCCTGGCTGGATTGTTGTAAAAGGGCTAGGAGATTATTTCTTTAGAGTGAGTTGTGCTCAGTAGGAGCTCGGGAAGTGATGCCGGCATTTTCTTCTTTGACTCCTCTTTAAACAACTCCTCCTCCATCATCTTGGTCATCATCATCATTTTAGTCTTTGCAGGCTGTGTAATCTCTGTCACAATGTGAATGTTGTCATCATGGTGTGAACGTAGACATAGACCATTAATGAATGGTTGTGGCTGTGTTTCAATAAAACATTATTTACAGAAATATGCAATAGGCCATTTTGACTCATCAGCTATAGGTTGCCAAACCCTGCTCTAGCACAGTTAATATTTCCCAAACGTGGGTAATTATCAGAATCACCTGAAGATTTTCCAAAACTACTAATTTCTTGGTTCTACCTTGGTCCTACCTTAGAACTGGGAATCTGTATTTCTTAAGGTCTCTAGAATTTCAAGGAAAAGGAGAATTTGGAAAAAGTTCCTCACTGGTATATTCAGAAATATTTAAGGATATGTTACACATAAAAAAAATTTCCCCATAGTGGCTACTAAAAACAAAAAAAGGAGCAAATGTAAAATAAGAAAGAATTTTGAGAAAATAAAATCATTCCAATAAAAGTAAAACAATAACAATAATCACCCCAAAATTTATAAATAAATCTAAATAACAAATAGACGTAACAAAAGTCAAATTAGGTCTGGAAGGTAAAATTAAAGAAATGCCCTGTAATGTAGTGCAAATAGACAAAGGAGAGATGGAAAATATAAAAGTTCAGAGTCATGAAAGATCAATCTGGTAGTCTGGCATTTATTTAATATTTGTTGTAGAGAGAGAAATGGAGAAAAAGAAATAACAGAAGGAAAATTTGCAGAATTGAACACGTAATTCTTTATAATGAAGGGACCCGCCAAAATAGAATATGATGAATGAGGAAATGCCTACACCTAGAACCATTCTGATGAACTTTCTAGACACATTTTGATGAACTTTCAAAACTCAAAGGGTAAAGCATCATAAGAGCTTTCAGAGGGAAAAACAGCTTATCTACAAAGGAATAGCAATTGAACTTGCAACAAGTTAGTCACTGTCAGCTCTACATATCAGAAGTATTCTCCAAGGGAACTGCCAAACTGCCATTAAATTGGGAGGGCCAAATAAGACATTTTTAGAAATGCAATTACTTAAAATATTTACAGGTAGACATATTCATTCTGAAAGTTATACTCAAGGATATGCTTCAGCAAAAGGAAAACTGAATACAAGAAAGAGGAAGAACAATAAACAGAGAGTCAAGGACAACTTATGGTTAAATTTAAACAGTTCCTTATTAAAAAAATTAATCACAATATATGATTATAAAATGAGAGATTGAGGGAAGAAAAGAAAACACATGCAGAGGTCTAGACTTGTTCAAAGAACCTCTAGATAATGATAAATTCTAGACAAAGATAGAAATATAGGTATTAATTAACATGTTAAAATTTTGAGAATAACTGGTAGAAGATTAAAATAAGATGTATCATTTTCAAACTATTAGATGACAAGAATGAACAAAGCTAACTCCATACACCCAACAGAAGGTAGAAAAGGAAAAACAAACAACAAAGTGATAGAAAACTTAATATGGCAGGATTAGCTCCAAATGTTTCTTCCATACAATGAGTAAAATTTTTCTTTTCTATAATTCTCAGAGTGAGTTTTTAAAAATCCAGGTATATACTGTTGACAAGAGAGAAACCTCAAACATATTGATGCTAAAAAATTCAACACAAAGGAACATAAAGAGTTACATAAGGGACTTTTGGTTAAATGGGCACAGTAAACACCCACTTAGCTTTGCTCCTTCTGTATCTTTGTATTTCTTATGTACCTTTGGTAGGACACCATTGGAGATGTTGACATATCTGATTAGTTTGTAATATCTTTTACCAACTCTGTCACTTATATGATCTGAAATCTTGTTGCCTATATTTTCAGGATCCACCTCCTTTCTTTAATGAAGTCAGCACTACGATAATCCAGGCCGAAAGGGTGAACCGTCTGCGGGAGGAGGTGCAGATGAAGCATGAAGAGGACTACAAGGAAGCCATGGTTACAATCAAGGAAAACCTGAAATTAACAGAAGGTCCAGACATCAAGGAGAGCCTTCAGGACCAGATCCGGCACTGGTTCATCGAATGCAGGTGAGCATGAGCTGCACAGTGGTATATCCACACAGTCTCTTCTTTAGTGGTTGAGCTTATTGTATGTGTTTAAGCACAAAAGCATGTTGATACAGAGTCACGATGTTTCTTTGGCTTCGTTTTAGAAAAGTGAAATGCCAAAGCTAAGAATTCAGAAATTAATTTGTTGACAAAATTGCTCTTTGTCTTGTTTTTTTAAAAATATGGAAATATGGTCCACACAGTGCTTCTGTGACCACATGGAATGGAACATCGTGGGTGGATGGCAGACCCACAATGGTAGAACTTCACAGGCCAGGTCTGTCTGAAAGCCAGGGGACCCTGGAACCCCTTCTGGGACCTGAATGGCCTCTCTATTTGTAAGAGGCTTGAGATTCTTGATCACAGTTCATCTCTGTCATAACCTTTGAGGCAGCTGCTGATTCCTGGGTCTCGACACCTGGCCCCCAGGTCTCCCTGAAATGACAAGTGTGGAGGAGTTCTGGGGACAAGGCTCCAGGCTATTCATATATTAAGAGTCTTCTTTAACACTCTTAAATGTTAAACAATTTAAAACTTGTTTACAAAAGATGGTTTTTAAAGATATTCTTTATTAGAGTGTATTTCCACGCAGTAGAATAAACACTTTATAGGTAACCTAATTAGAGAAGTTTTTAAATCAATTTTATTTCGAGAGTGGAAGAACAGAGGAGAATGTTGCAATCAGTCCAGAAGCCATCTGTTTCCTTGAGTGGGTATTGTGCCCTATCAGGTCCCAAGATGCATGGACACCATCTCTGTTAGTTCATCAGGACCAGAAGATGTAACTGTTGGCAATAGAAAAATCAAACTTCCTCTCGAAAAATCTATTAGGTTTTATGTCTGTGGTAGGCAGCCTCTAAGCAGGCCTCCAGTGATCGCCCTGCCCCCGGAGTGTGATATACCCCTAGTAATTCACTCCTAAAGGAAAGGACATGGCAAAAGTGATGGGATATTGCTTCTGTTTCCTCTCCCGGTCTCTTGCGTGTTTTTCCCTTCGCTGGCTCAGAGGAGTCAGCCACCACGGTATCCGCTGCCCCGTGGAGAGGCCCACGTGGCAAGGAGCTGAGGAGGGCTCCCAGGCTACAGCCAGCAAGGCATGGAGTGCTTCATTCCAGCAGCCTGGGAAGAAGTAAATGCTTCCCCAACCACATGTGTCGATGTGGAAGCAGACCCTCCCCCAGGTGAGCCATCAGATGAGACCACAGTCCCACTGACACTGATTACAGCCTTGTGAGAGACCTTGAGGCAGAGGCGCCAGCTGAGCCACATCTGGTACCCTACCTGAAGAAGCTGGGACACAATGAATGTTTGACATTTCAAGCCACTAAGGCTTGGGTAACTTGTTATGCAACAATAGATATTTAATACATATCAATTACTTTTCGAATGATTTAGAAAAATCTACACTACTAGAGTTCTCTTGTGGTAACTTTATGTGGGATCTTAACGCACTATTTCCTTAATACTGATATTTTATAACAAGGTTTCTTTATGAATGTTTGATGTAATAGTTACATCCTTTTGATTGGAGGGTTCTGTCCTTTCCTACGAATACAATTTTAAAATACTGATGATTTTTAAAAATTCAAAATTGATTAAATTTGTGAGTTTTTATTTTTATATCTTACTTATCAGGGATATTTTATGGCACAATGGGATATTTTGAATGGGAGGGATATTTGACATTGCGTAAATTCACGCAAGTAATAATAAGGACGAGACCGAGGAAAGCCGTTGACAGGGAAGGAGGTATAGACATGGTCTTATCCTCTGTTTTTCGTCAGTTTCCTCTTTGTGTTGGTTTCATGGTGTGTATATTTGTCAAAACTTACCAAATATTAGCAGTTTTTTGTATGTCAGTTATATCCCCATGAAGCCGTTAGATCATCACGGCACTAGTAGGATGTCGGCAAAAATGCCAGTGCTTTAGTTCTTAAGAGTAGCGTGTTATTCTGTCATCCAGGGTCCCAAACCCTGGTTTTCTAGTTGCTATCCTTGTTCTCAGACTCTCAAGAATCTTGCCCCATTTTCCTACTCCTTACGGCATCTGACTAGGAAGGAGGGTCCACATCCCCACACCTGGGGACTGGGGCAAGGTGTGAGCAGTGTCCAGACATCTTGTTTACCGCACCCTGGCCGGTTTCTGCAGGTATGTGGGGCAGCAGCTCTGGGCCGCCCAGCAGTCCTTGGGGGCCCTTCTGCAGCCCTGGTTTCTGCAGTCTGCCCATAATCACGGGTACCAGCAGTCCAGGCCTCTCGTGTCTGAGCCCTGCCCTGCTGGCTCTCTCGGGACCTCCATGTCCCCCTGAGCATAGGTGGTGCAGGCCCAGGTCTCAGGGGACCATCCAGCAGGTCCCCTCCACCTCACTGCCATCGACCCCACACCAGGCTGCACAGATGGGGAGACGGGCACCACCCACAAGTTCAGAGAGTCTCCTCAGCACCGCCCGGGCGTCCACAGGCCCTCCTTAGTGCCACCCAGGTGTCCACAGACCCTCCTTAGTGCCTCCTGGGTGTCACAGACCCTTCCTGGTGCCCCTCGGGTGTCACAGGTCCTCCTCAGGCACTCTGGGGTTTCTGCTGGGGTCTCAACATTCACCCCCTTTCACTGAGACCCTTGGGGGGTGGGCTCAAGGACTTAGTTGGTGTCCCCAGTCTCACCTCCTCCCTTCCCTTCCCCACCACTTTGCCCACCGACTTGTTCAAGCTGAGAATGACTCCTGTGAGTCCTGTCTCCTGCTGGAGCTCTGCAGAGCCCTCCCCTTTCCTCCTCCAGTCCTACTGTGCAATGATTAAGAGGCAAACTGGAGTCATTGCTTCCTGCAAAATCTCTGTGAAACCTTGGGCGAATCCTTTAACTTCTCTGTGGGTCAGTTTCTCATCTGTGATACGAGGACAAAAATCAGCCCATTTCCTGTGCTTGACCTGAGCGTGGGCCGTGGTCATTTCCACCGCACTGGAACCATCTGCCTCCAGTGCCCTCCGCACATAAACTGCAAGTCCAGTTAGGCCTGTGCTGGTGCTGAGAAGAAATTGGTATATCAATTTCAGGAAGAAGCAGTGAATGGTGCAAGCTAATGGTATTGCAGTTTTTCATTCTTATGCAATTGCATAATTGTATCTGGAGAAAATATATTAGTTGAAATGATTTTGTGCAACTGCAGTCACAGAAATTTAGGTGTTGTTTCAAAAGAATTAAGTCTTCTGATTAAATCACTTTGATTCATACTTAAAACCTTCATTTTCATAGTTGACAAGGATGACATGCCCTACGTTCATGAACTTCCCCTCTTTTCTCATGTGTCAGAGAATAGCTATTCAAAGATATATTTCCTATAAATGAAATGATTCTTTAAATTTATATAGACATTTTAAAATTCAGTTTATTAAGTGACAGAACCAAGGTGAAAGTACTATGTACAATTATAACCCCAAATAAGTTAAAATATACATACACATATATTCAAAAACACATTTAACTTATTAAATATATGTTTGTACATGCCAAGAAAATTTCTGGAAGGATACACCAGAAACTGTTAGCATGACTACCTCTAGGAGCTAAAGTGGGGAGGGGGGGTTTACTTTTTATTTTTATTTTATATTATTCTGTATGAAGTCTTTTTTTTCGATAAGTACTATCTTTATAATAAAAACCTAAGTTACAAAATATATTAGAGGAAAAAGAAAGAAAGTAATCAATTTGGGTTGATTTTAAATTCTTAAAACACCCTAATTTTAGGAAAGTAGATTAATGCAATAACTTGGACACTCTTGGAAATGGTCTTTTGATAAAAGTGCAGGGAGACCTGGGGCTGCCGTGACTGTGAGTCGTTTTCCCACCTGAGGTCCCTACAGGGCCGTGGGAGACTTGGGCATGCCTGGATGTCATCCCGGGTGTGCCTGCTCCGTGGTTGCAGGGTTCACGGGCTTCCTTGGAAGATCCAGCCCCGCCGACCAGTCCCTTTGGGAGCACTGCCCCAACACTGTGGAGGCCAGTTAGTCGTCCTTGTGGCTGTGCTGGCAGAATTCACAAAGATACAGAAATTCCTCTTTCCAAAGTCATACAAGGCCCAGGGTGCATTTATTTTCATAATTGGATTATATTTATCTGATTGACTTTGATAAAATCCTTTTTCTTGCTTTTTTAAATGCAAGGCAAATAAAAAGCAAATATTATCTTTCGCAACATGAAACATGATCAGTCCTCAAAATAAATCCCAGTAGGACACACAATGACAACTCAATAAATTATTGAAACTTTCAATTATTAATAATATATGTTCCCACAATTCAGAATACTTATTTAATCGGAACTTATATTTGCCAAAAATTGTTTTTAAGTCAATCTTATTTTACATGAAGTATTTTTTTCTAATGTTAAAAATAATGCAAGCTTATTGTAGAAAATTTGCAAGATAGGGTTTAAAGAAGAAGATTTAAATCATATATGATTTTAGTATATAGAGATATTGTAGCTACTGTGAAAATTCTTGATAAATT